CCTGGGAGGGAAGGGACAACCCTCAGTTCAGCTTGAGCAATATGAGTCCCCGTGCCATTTCAATCACTAATCCATTGCACGGTTCTTAACTTCCCTGGGATAATGGGCAAGAAAGTGCTTCACAAAGGGTTTATGATCATAAAGTGTTCTGTCACTTAAAGAAAGGCCATTCAATTGCTGATGGCATGATTCTTTACCTTGCCTAGCCCGAACCTCTTCAGGAACATTCTCCACCAAGAAAGTTCTAAAGCCTTTCTTTTTGTTTCCCTTCCATGCAAATAACCTCCCACAGTTCTCACTGCATTAGCTTTCACCAGGTACCGCGTTCAACCTATAGGCCCCAGTGCAGCCACATCTATAGTTAAAACAGTGAAACACTTCTGCATCTGCTGCTAGCTAGCCCTGCCCTGAGGGCCCCCTCCCACCCTCAGGTCCCCCTTCATCAACTAAAAATACCTCCAACCCAGCAGGGGGCCTCCAGCACCCTGCTGCTGCACAGAAGCTGGTTCCCTTCTGATTTTTCACATCACACCTGCCTCTCGTGAGTACAGAGACGATGAGTAACTCCAAAGCAATGGATCTAAGTTTTTAAGAAATAGCAGAACTAAATACGCAAATAGAAATAAATATTATTTGTCAGTTTATTCTTGAGACTTGTTTCTAAAAGACTTCTGGCTTCTGCTGAAAGCAAACCCACACTCAAAAGATAAAACTTTGCCTCCTGGAAGGTTGACAAAAGAATATGAAGCCAGTCCTAGTGACAGAAAATTCACACTGCCCCACAACTCTATAGAGCAGAGAGAGCTTCAGGGGAATAAATGTACAACCTCTTGAGTCAAAGAACTTCTCCCTACATGTATAAAAAGCCCAGGAAAATTGTCATACTGCCAGTGAGGAGATGATATTAAGGAATTAGTAATAGTTTTTAGATGCAATGATGATGCTGTTATGTTTTTTAAAGGAGTCTATTTTAAAGAAACATACTAAAATATTTATGGCTGAACCATACGATGGGAGGTTTCCGTCGTATGGAAATCTATGGGAAGGAAAGGTATGGGAGTGGGGGGCTGAGAAGGAACTAGTGATGAGTCCAAGTGTTCAGGTGGCAACTGAAGTTCTCTAAACCGTATCCAAGGCCACTCTTATGTGTTCCTTTGGCTTCCAGAACAATCCTGTTTTGTCGTTCACCTTAATAATCAGTGTGTATGGCTTTCCTAGGCAGAAATCTTAGGCTCAAGTCTTTTTGGAAGGAGCTGCCACACCGCTGCTTGTTGACTCCTTCCTAATTGTGGTGACAGACAGGAGGGGAACCCAGGGCCGGGGGCTCTCTGTGTCACCACACACTTGCAGTGCCAGCTGGTTCTCCCCATTGCCAGGGGCTGAGGGGTGCTGGGTGTGGCCAAACTGTTTCTGTGATAGAAGTTCTGGGATGGGAGCTGAGAGATGACACATCAGAGGTGTGCTTGGTGGGGAGAGGGTTACCCCCAGGAGATAAGACTGAAGATTCCACTCTGAGAACACCCCTTGGCAGGGAGACGCAAAAGGGTGAGTTCGAGTCAGGGCAAAGAGGGAACAAGGGCAGAAATTCCATCTGTCCCCTCCCCCAGAGGTTGAAGGGGAAGCGTGTCTCTAGAGAACAATTGGATTGGGACGTGGAGAGACCCAAAAGTGCTCACAGTCTGACTGATAACTGTGTTAATGTGGACAATCCTTTATTTTGTCAAAGTGCACATAATTATGAACACACACATAACTTCCCCAACAGGGAAGGAGGAGTCTAAACAAGATAATATTTGTATAACATTGTGAGCTCCTTGGAAGAGAGGTTCAACAGAAACGAGGCATCATCGTAGGGACTCAGCACCCAGAGGTGCCATGTGACGTTTAGTTTAGACAACTCAGTATTCCCAGAACCCCCACAGATTTTGCAGAAACTACCTCATGCTTAGTTCTCTTAGCCAACTGAAAAAAGAAGCAGAAACAAAACTCCCTGTTTCTACACAGGAGGCTTTTAGCAGCTCTGTTTACTCCTCCAACACAAAGCCCTTGTTTATGTGTGACAGATGGTAGTACATGTTTTCTCTCTTCTCTCTCTCTCTCTCTCCCCTCCAACTCCCCCTCCCTCCTCTCTTTCTGTTTCCCCTCCCTCACTTTACTTGTTCCCCTCTATTTCTTTGCCCCCACTCCATTTTTCCTTTTCTCCAATCCTTCTCTGCCTTACGCCACTTTTCCTAAATCGCCTCAGAGAGCAAGAAGGATAAAGGCAGACAGAACACCAAGACTTAAGAGAATGCCTTTGCCCTGCCAGCTATTTATTCCATCAGGCTGCATGCTCAGAGTCGCTTCGTGGTTCACAGGACTCATATTTGAAATGTATTTTTGAAGACGAAGTGACACATCTTTGAAACTGTAGGGAGCACAGAGCAAACATTAAAGGGTCCATAAATATTTATGTGGCAGCTTTCCATGGGGTGCTTTCCCAAAGTAATCACAGCCGATGCATCTGCGTGCATGCCACACACACACACACACACACACACACACACACACACACACACGCTCACACACTCACTCACTCACACACTCACACATGTTCCTTCCCAAAGAACAAATATAAACCCACCCTCTTCCTGAATACTTACACTAAGCATCATCTATAAACCAGCCAGAGTGCAGGGCAGTGTGAAAAGCTGGATGCGCGAGAGACTTTCTCCTCTCTACGTGGAATACTGTTTGGTCCCTCAAATCCAAGCAAGTGACTTAGTCTATCCCACTAAGGTATTCCACTAGATGGATGGTCTAGAGACTCTTTTCCAGCTGTAAATAACACGGTTCCCTGAGCAATCACACCAAGGCTTTTAGAGAACTCCCACAAATATCAATCTGCCTGACACCCCAAAACCTGGTGAAGGCAAAGAAAAGCTTGTCATCACAGGTGCCAAGCCACACTTGAACAATGACCTGTGTAGTTGCAGAGAAGTTAGGGATAAGGTGAAAAGAAAAAATTGGCATTAAGTTCACTAAGGAAATAGCTCACTTTATGCCATCATAAAGAACTGATATAATAGGTACCAAGCAGGAGTAGAAGACAAGATTTGGCACCCAACTGGATATGGAGGACAAAAGAGAGTCAAAAGGAAAATTGGGCAAAAAGAGGGGTGTGCCTGCTGATCTCACTTGGTCTCCTGAAATCATGCTCGGATTTCAAACATGCTTCGAACAGAAGCGTTCTCCAGAAGCAACACGCTGGCCCTTTTAAAAGCGGCCTTAGTTTGATGCATAATATTATCCCCCTGACACACCCCACCCACAGACAAGAGAGACACAGGCTCAGGAAAAGGAAGTTGCTATTTGAGAATAGCCACATCTGCAAATGATTAGCTTTAGGATTTACTACCAATTAGGACTATAAATCTCTGCTTTCTTTGGCTCCTGGAGACTTGATTTCACTGACGGTTATAGGAGGGGGGCGGAAAGAAAGTCATTCGAGACAAGGAGGGAGAAATCCAAGCTTAAAAAGACACACTTCAAATTCCAAAGGGAGCCGGATTTCTGAAGCAGCAACGTGGAAAGCAGTCCTGCGGTTCTAAGCAAACAGCCCAGTAGATACCAGCAAGGTTAGCAGAGTCAAAGGGACCAGGGCCCCTCACAAGGGGCATCAGGTTGCATGACTGAGCGCTCCCCCAGTGGCCAAGCCATAGTATGGCCAGAGTTAGCAGTGGAGTCCATGCAGCAGGCACTTTAGGTCCCTGATCAAGGATTCTCAGCGTTGGCCAAGCACTGGAATCATCTTTGAAGGTTTAGGAACATCTCTCTGCTTAGGTCCCGCTGCAGGACAGTGAAATTAGGAGGTCCAGTGGCGGGGCTGGGGTACCAGCATGGTTCAAAAGCTCCCAGGTGATCCTCAGGTGCAGCTCGGGTGGAGAACCACCTTCTGTCTTTTTTCGTGCTTATGGCAACCCCATGTTTTAGGTACAGTAATTCTAGTGGCTTAACAGAAAACTGAGGCTAAGTAATTGATCCCAGGTTACACAACCAAAAGTGAAGGAGACAGGATTTGAACCCAGACTTTACACTCTTAATCATCATGTCCTATGGCCTCCCAGGCCCTAGGCCTTCATGAGTTTTTCAAGGTAGAAAATGTGGGGCCTCAAATTTTCATATATTGTTTTTTATATTCTAGTGAAAATGAACCATGTGCCCATATTAATGTTTTGTATTAATTAAGAAGGCAAATTTCTAATTATTAATTCTTTGCTTGGAATGACATTACAGCAGGAAGTTGCTCTGGACATTTCATGTTCCTTAGGACTCATTCATTCATTCAACAAACTGAAAACTTAAGTTTCAGTTTTCTACAGTCTATAAAATAGAATCACCCTGTGCAGTAAGGACCGTAGCCATGGCATGCACTAGCTGTTCTGAAGACACACAAAAGAAAATTGACAGCTCTAAGTGGCAGTAATATATTATGCTTTTGATGAGAGAAAAATGGCAAGAGAAATCAAAGAATTAATATATAAACATTTGTAAGTGGTGAAATAAAAGATAGAGTCCCTAAGTGGTGGCATAGGGTAATAAAATGTTATGAGAAAATGGGGAATACACTATTTCTGATCCCTACATATTTAACTGAGGATACAAAATGCAAATTTCTGTATGGCCCCTACATGAGTGGAGGGAACTGAATGGCATATCCTGTCCAACAAGGCAGCTAGTTCTCACCTCCAGCCAAAAGTTGCTGTACAGGTGTGCAAGCACAGCATTGTCAAATCTTCTAACTTCTTTAGCAAAAGCTATAAATGCAGAGTGCTTAATGTAAGGCCTCCAGATTGTTTTAATGGCATCCAATTTAAGTCATTTTAAAATATTGTGTGGACCTAAGAAAACACAACCACTGCCAGTTCAGCTTTCACCATTGAGGGAGATCTCCCTGCTAGTCCTGAGGATCCCCCAAACAACTGCTTATTCATGTTGCCTTCTCCCCACCCCCCTTGCAGGTATGCTCATTTATTTTGGGTACGGCATCTGGAACAGCACCTTGGAAATCAGCGCCCGAGAAGAGGCCCTGCACCAAAGCATGTACCAGCGCTATGACGTGGACGACCCTTTCTCGGTGGAGGAAGGCTTCTCCTACGCCACAGAAGGCGAGAGCCAGGAGAACTGGGGCGGGCCGGCAGAAGACAAAGGCTTCCATTACCAACAGATGTCAGATGCAAAGGCAAACACCCGGACAAGTAGCAAAGCAAAGAGCAAAAGCAAACACAAACAGAACTCAGAGGCCCTGATTGCAAATGATGAGTTAGATTACTCTCCAGAATAGCAGCAAACACACAAGAAATGTGTAGAAATGATTTATTTTCAGTAACTCAACCTGTGGGCTAGAAGGTGAAAACTCTTTTGGCTTTCATTTCAAAAATCCAGCCTTCCCCAAAGTCAGTCCCCAGTCATAGTCTGTCATTTGCTACTTTTGTTCTTCGAGATATTCTGCAGAAGGGTTTATCCTGGGTCCCACAACTGGTCCTCTTGTAAAATAAATTAAACAAGAAACTCTATCTTGAGAGCAACTGTCATTGCTGATGGCAGTAAATTATTTTCTGAGTCATTGCTTTGCTGGTTGAATCTTTTTGCTTCTCACTGAGATCCCTAGAAGCAAGGAGCAGACTCAATGACAGTGAGGCTGCAGCTCTTCCTGGAGATGTGCCAAAGCAGGTGGGTGTGGGCACAGGGCAACATTTCGACCCCTGGACCACAAGGGCAGAGATCTGCCCTCGGTCCGCCCAGCTGAGAGCAGCTCCCCAGGCCAGGTGGGCCAGGGAGATTTGGCACCTCCTCAGCAAGCAGCACTGTGTCCAGAAAGCTCACAAAAACAAATTCATACAGAAGACACATATTACTTTTATTCACCAAGGTTCTCAGTCTCCAAACTATCATTCTGGGATCCAGAAAAGGTCAAGAATTCTGAGACCATGTCCCCCAAAAGATCCAGATTCACCATAAAGCAGATATGCAGACCCAAAAACATGGTCAAAACACCATCAAAAAATATTGAAATGCCCAGAAAATATTAAATAACCATTTTTTTTTTGTGGGGAAGGCCAGAAGGGCATTGGCAGAAATGAACGCTCTGTCATGCCTTCTCTTCTACCAGACTGTAAGATCCTACAGATAGGAGAAAAGAGGGCAAAACTGAAGCATGATTTCATGGCATTAATATGCCTTGAAGAAGCAGGCCATTTGTTTTATACTCAGATAAAAATCTTTACAAGGAGAAGTGACCCAGTCACTGAGATCACATTGCAAATTCTCTATCAGATTTCTAAAATTATAAATTCTGTCTCTTTTTTTGAGATCGGCAACCACTTGATTAGTGGGTTCCATAAAAATGCTGAAGCCCAGCTACTTAGGTATTGGCATTCCCTGGGATCGCATTTCAGCTCTGAGCCTTTCTCCTCTAGGATAGCTCACTTTCAGACATGTATTTCTCCTGTTATTTCCCAGAGTAGTTTTTTGAAGCCCAGAAAGATATCTACCTGAGATATCTACCTGGTAAGGTCTAAATCTGGGCCACAAGAGGGGCTCCTAAAGGGATGTTATCAGAAACAAGGTAGATGAGAGTATTTGCAGCAGGAAAACACATGGGCTATAAATTCTACTCTTGGGTGCCAGGGATCCCCAAGGTTGAGCCAAGATGTGTGGAAAAGGATGTGAAGGCACCATTCAGATCAAGCTAATATCTTTAAGAGAATTTCCTGAAAGGGGAGAAATGTAGCAAATTCCTTGCTCTTTCTCTCCTGAATTAGGGTGATGCCAAAAGGTTTTCAGAATGCACTGACTAATGTTTAGGTCTATTCTTTTTTTAAGGGTGGGGCTTCTGCCATCTTGGCATGCCTTTGGATTATGGAGAGGAGGTAAAAGTCCATTTCTTCACTCAACACTGATTGAGAATGTACCAATTAGTAACAAGTAATGGGAATGAAAAGAAGTATAACATCTGCCCTTGGACTCACAGTCCACATAATGAGTAGCACTGGAGCTGATAAATGTAGATAAAACAAGCAAACCTGGCAAGTTCTCACAGTTGATTGCACTGAGCTTTAACATAGTAAGAGGGGGGAAAAAATCAATTGAAACTATTTTTTTTAATTATGCTTTCAAATAAATTGCATATTACACCAATACCCAATGTATGTTACTGAATTCAAAAAAACTACTGTTTTCTAGATCCTTTTCATTCCTCAACAGTAAATGTTTAGAATGCTGGTTTTGTGGGGTCGTTTTGTCATTTTAAAGTAATAAAATGGCAATACCCTGTTTTCTCTCCCCTAAACTTAACCATAAGGATACTGTGCCTGGGCCGTGAAATGCATCCTTGGGGATTCAGTGTAAAGCAATTATCAGCAATTTGTGTAGAAATGAAGCCTTGAGCTGGTTGTAAGTCTAACAAATCTGCCCAATTAAATTACATTTTGTTAGACTTGCGATACACCCAGACAGGTAGGATGGGGGCTATCTCTATTCATTCAAAATGTTCAAAATGAAATATGAGTGGAAAATAACAAAATCTGAATATGGGTGAAGGATCTTCTCTTTCCTAGTGAGGTTTGGGTAGTGAAGTGACAGTGGTCTGGTGGGGAGGCAAGGGAAGATGTGGGAGTATGACGCAGAAAAGGTTGTACCTCAGGAGCAGGGACAGCAGCGACCTCAGCCTGTGCAAGGAGCTGACAAACTATATTCATACTCCAAGTTATCTAACATATTAAAGGGGAAAAAAAACAGCTGTATGTAAAGCAATCTACGAGTTTTCCTTTGAGTCCTACGCCTGAGTTCATCATTAACCTAGAAGTATAGGCATTTAATTCGTGCAAAGACAATTGAACAAAGTTCTTTGCAGCCACTTGAAAATGTTCAGGTTTAAGCAACCAAACCTAAAAAAATTTGACATCTATGTAAGCTTGCGATTTTACCCAGCCTGAACGTAAGTCACTCCAAACTAGTGAAGGCAATCGATTAACAGAATTAGGTTAAGAATCCAGTTCTATTTCTTAGAAGCAAATTAATAGCTAATCCAATGTCTACACAGTGGTTGTGATAAGCCTGTTTAAATAAACAGGCAGAAAGATTGTAGACTTTGATGATCTGTCCTTCTCTAGACGCTGCAGGCTGGTCAGGAGATAAAACTAGTAATTGTTGGGAAACCAAACACAAACTTTTTCAAAGAAGTGTCTTTTCCCTCTTCTCCTGAAAAGAGTTGATAACTTGACCTCTTTTATATCACTCTGTTGGAGATGTCTGCCTTACAAGGGGCTGCCTCTTCTCTGCATTATAAATAGAAGCTGTAGAGCCTCAGGGTGGCCTCAAAGACTAGGAAACTGCAGTCCCTTGCCCACCAGTTTTTGCACTGAGAGTCATTCACAGGTTCAGATTAGAATGTCTTGTTGGGAGAAGAAGTCAGAAACCAGAAAATGTGCCTGAAGCCAGAGCTGGGGTGAGTTCACCAACCCAGGAGGCAAATATGTTCCATTGTTGTGTATAAGCCTTCAGGCTAGTGAGCAGTCCAGAGAACACCTTCATTTCTCATGCTGGTGAGGTGGGAAGAGCAAAGGAGACAGGCACCCCAAAGCTCACCTCCAGGCTACTTGACAGCACCCCTTTGCATGCTCTCTGAAACAAAACTATTTGAGAAAAGTATTTCTCCCCAAAGTTTTCACGGGGCCTCAGTTTCTCCTGTATGCATGTGTCTGCTGACACCCAGGGCCCATCTGTCAATAGAGGCCCTTTGGAGTCCCTAAGAGAGCTCCACAAGCTGGGAACCGTGGTGGCCCGGCCATGATAGAGGCATCATCTGTAGCTGGATGGAGCACAGGGGCAGAACCAGCAACTCTCCTGAAAGCAGGAGCCAGTAAGCAGTCCCACCAAGGCGTTTACTGTGTATCTCCCAAGTGGAATGGTGACAGGTAGCTAAAAGCCCCGTCCATGTACTTGATTATTAGTCCCATGCCTACTTTCATTTGCCCGAAGATCAAGAGGAGAGGCTGTTGTCATTGGTTTCCCTCCTCAGGAACAATTTCCTTTCCAAAATGCTTTCCTCTTCTTGCTTGGCTTGAGTAACACATGCATCATCCTGAAATACCAAGGCAGTAGGTATTTTGCCAAAACTACTTTTCTAAGAAAATGGTCGCATTTTTTAGGACTTAAAACCCAAAAGGGATTGAAGCCCAGTAAACAATTATAACTAAATGAAAATAGAGTTAGAAATCAACCACAATAGTGTTAGAAATCACTAAGCAGTGTTCACCATGCATGGAATGACCAAATTCTCAGAGGACTTTCATGAAGACAGCCTTCAGGTTGAAGACTTCTGGGAGTAGGTAGCGCTCACGTCTTGCTCTTTGCAAACATTCAGTGCATTTCGATGCATTCAGGAATGAAAATGGGATTGTACTAGAACTAGGAAATAGGGGAAACCTGGATCTGCTCCTTAGGGAGTCACTCTGCTTTTTTTCCCCCTCTATTATGCTTTCCTAACATTGACACCGGTGACACCGATTTAAGAGAATTGTGGGTCATGTACATTCTCCAGGAAGTGCAAACTCTGAGGGATTGTGTTCATTTTGATATGGAATGAGGTCACTGTTCTTTGCACATCTCCTAGTGATTGGTCCTGGCAGTTGCCAGTACACACCCCTGAAGTTCAATTACACTGGAAATCAAAACCCCTGCTTTCAAAGCAAAAGCACTGTTACTACTACGATGGAGCATAAATACCTCAAATGTCTGGGCTGATAGAAGGGGTGGCAGGATTAAGAGAGCAGCTATTGTCCTCATCCCGTGTGTTTATACTATTTAACAACAGGCTCAACATTCTAGCTTTTCTCACTGTGGAAAAGAAGCGTTACTGTCTAATTCATATCCAAAGTTATAAATACAGCTTGTAAATTTTACTAACTTGTTTCTTTTTTGTTTGGTCCTTGAGAAGTACAACTTGCTTTTTGCAGATGGTAATTTCTGGTGTCATTCTCTGCTTTTCTTTTTTGGTATGGAATTGCTGTATTTGTTCAAGTTTGTTCGTTTTGTGATTTTTAACTCCCATTGGTGCACTGTACAATGGGGTGTTGTCGTGTATCATGAAGAAAGAAATAATATGCAGATATGTTATGGAGCGTGTTTTATTTTCAAATGACTGTGGTATTGACAATATATTGATTTATCGAGATACTAAGGGAAAATTCTAAATCTACCAAAATGTGTATATTTTAATAAATGCATAAAGCTTTATGGTGTGCCTTTAAATTTAAAAATGGGTTCAAAGAAAGTCAAAAGCAAAAGTGTCTTACTATAAAATATTCATAGTGATGGAAAGCTCTTACACAGGAGACTACCAAAAGGAAAAACAGAACAGGCAAAGGAGCTTTCCCATATTTTGTTAACTTTAACCAATTCCTGAAGTCCAGTGTTTTGTTTCCATTCTAAAATGGAGATGAACAAGTGAATCTTGCCTTAAATGTTTCAATTGTCCTTTGTAGAAAAGCCAGATAAATGAGCTCTTTTTTTTTTCTTTTGGAAAGAATTGCATTATTGTGGAAAATTGATTTTCAGAATAAAAAATATTTTAAAATGATATTTAATCGACTATTAAAATTTAAATCTGAAGAAAGTCAGTGCCATATTACCTTTTTAAAGTCACTCTACTTCCATGAGGAGAACTAAAAGTTCCACTCCAGTAGACTCTTGGGGAACCGTGAAATGGTCCCAACTCTCTCACCATTTTTATAAAGATTTATTTATTTATGTATACAAGAACTGGGGGTACAGACCCGAGGTATGGGGGGGGGGTAAGAGGATTCACCAGAGACAGAGTGGGGAACAGAACAGGCAGACTGACTGAAATACACTGCTGAGGGGAGCAGCGGGCAAGGAGAGGTCTGCTGCCCCATGTGGGTAGCTCCCTGGCTGGCCGGGTATTGAACTTGGCTACAGAGGCTGCGGACAGCTTCACAATGCTGTGCTTAACCCCTTTCTTCCAACAAAGTACAGGACTCAGTCCATGTAACCAATGGAGTCTGAGAGGAAATCATCTGTCCTTGTAGGACTGGTCCATAATATCTTCCACGCTGTATTCTTCAGGTACTTTCTCTCCTGGTTGAGGTAGCAGCACTTGATGACCTTCAAAGCCATTTATTGAAGATGGTGGATCCATGAGAGGCAAGGAACCCAGGTTAAAAAGACTCACATGCTAATCACTACGCTGCCTCCTCAACTACCTCACCCCCAGTTCCAGCTCTTTGTCACAGCCACATCCTCCCCAGCACCACGGAGCATTTGATTCATGCCCCACATTCATTTTAAGGACAAGTCAGAGGAACATTACCTGGCTACAGCCCCAAACCCTGTTACAATAGCAATTGTGGCGCTTCAATTGATTTCACTTTTGAGGGGCAGAAGCAGAGACACCTGGAGAAAAGATGGAGCAGTGCAGCAGGCCACACCATGTGGAGTGCAAAGAACCTGCTGTGTCTTTATTTCCTACAATCCATAGGTCTACCTAGAAAAGGTCTGCCTGCCACTTGGATAGTGGGACAGAGATAAACAAACTTAAATGTATTAATTTACAGAATCACAGTTGTCTTCTGGTGTAGTCTGCCTTTATATTTTTTTAAAGATTTATTTATTTATGCATACAAGAACTGGGGCACAGGCCAGAGGTGTGGGGGGTGAGAGGATTCACCACAGACAGAGTGGGGAACAGAGCAGGCGGATCTACTGAAATACACTGTTGAGGGGAGCAGCAGGTGAGTCAGGAGAGGTCTGCTATGCCACATGTGTAGCTCCCTGGCTGGGGATTGAACTAGTGCCACAGTGGCTGTGGATACCTTCACAATGCTGCGTCTTAACCCCTTGCATCACCAGGGAGCCCACCCACCAATCTGCTTTTAGATGGTAAGTCTCTTTGGGAAAAACATTTGATCTTTTAGAGTTCCTCTTCTCCCCCTTGTTTCTTTCCAAAATGGCATCTGGGAACAGAGACTATCTGATCTCATAAGGAAGGGGCGAGGTTGGGGGGTCACTTGAGAATCAGGGTGTCTTCCACTCCTGATGGATGCTCTGCAGAGTGGTTACCTGGTCTGCTCCCTGCACAGGTGGGCCCTGAAGGCCCCCCCCCCCATCTAACGACATGGGCTT